TCTCTTGCTGCCTGGTACAGCGTCTTCAATGCGAAGAAGGAAGAGGACATTGTGCAATCCAAAGTCAAGGGTCCCGGTGGCAAGCCTTTACCCATCACCAAGCGCAAGAAGCGCACCAACGGCGAGCGCAAGCTCGGCCCGCACTTTGGAACCACTTCCAAGATAGTCTTTCGTTTTTTAGCTGCCATTGTGTTTCTCACGTACCTAGCCAGTGCGTTGTTGATGCTCGTCCATGCCTTTTGGTACGAAGATCCGTATAAATGGTCAAAGGAGGGTTTGCCGTGGGCCGGCCAATGGAGTGTGGTATGTCTCCGAAAATGCACTTTCTTGCCTGTTACATCCGCCGGCGTGGCGGGGTTTGTCTCGTTGGGGGGTTTCTCTATTCTTTTGCTGACCTCACCCCTAAACAGGTTCACGTCACTGGTGCTACATTCTTTTACCTCTACATTTTCGTGTCCCTGTTCGATTGGCGCAAGGGTCCAAATGTCGTCCATCTCGTCATCTGGATATTGGGCTTCATCGGAGAGATTGTCATTTCAAGCGCCACGTATAAAGCAGCCATCGAGTGTCACTTTGAAGTCATCGATGTGTCCGACCGCAACGGCGAGGAAGGCCGCAGCTGCACCATCAGCTACTGGACTCGGCTCGACCTGATCCTATACTTTGTCCGAATCCTGCACATGGCCGTCCTGATCTTGTTCTTCGGTGCCGCATGGGTCAACAAGGCGTACCGTCAATCATCTTCTGATCACCTTAACCTCGAGGCCGGACACGCCGCCGAGTCGACCCCGCTCCTTAATGGGCACAACAGGTCGTACGAGACGCAGAATGGCAATGGCCACACCGTTGAGGCTAACGGCCGTCGCAAGCGGGGGAGAACCATGTCGAACGCCAATAAGCCCGCCGGGACTGTCAGCCGAAAGGATGAAGGCGCCGCCTTCTATCGTCCATCCAAACTTCCTCACAAGACATGGTGGGAGTATCTGCGAGGTTACTCCTTGTTCTTTCCCTACTTGTGGCCTAAGAACAGCATGAAGCTTCAGCTCAATGTCTTGATATGCTTCTGCCTCGTCATCGTTCAGAGAATTGTCAACATGCTGGTGCCCTTCCAGCTGGGTCTCGTGGTGGACCAGCTGGAAAAAGCCATCCGAGAGGTCAAGGGTGGCCAGCCTGTGTCTTTCGACAACTTCCCGCTCAGCGAGTTCATCACCCTCGGCGGCCTTTGGATTCTCCAGGGCCAGTCAGGCCTCCTCGGCTCGCTGAGATCCATGATGTGGATCCCCGTTTCCCAGCACTCGTATCGTGGATTGACTACCGCAGCATTCAACCATGTGCACTCGCTAAGCTTGGACTTCCACCTCTCGAAACGCACAGGCGAGGTTCTTTCTGCTCTCAACAAGGGATCAGCTATCAACCAGTTTTTGGAGCAGGTCACTTTCCAGGTGTTCCCGATGATGATGGATCTTTTCATCGCCATTTCCGTCTTCTATTACAAATTCGGTCCTCTCTACGCCGAAATCAACATGGTCATCACTTGTTGGTATCTGTACATGACCATCAAAATGGCATCGACAAGGGCCGAGCAGCGAAGAGAAATGACCAACGCAGACCGAGAGGAGGAGGCAGTGAAGAATGATTCCATCTCTAGTTACGAGACAGTCAAATATTTCAACGCAGAAGAATTTGAATCTGGGCGGTATCAGGACAAGGTTGGCGTTTTCCAAGCCGCGGAAGCCAAGGTCCAGGTTGGTGTTGTCATGATGAACATTTGCCAGGCCTTCGTTTTCAACCTAGGAAGAATCATTGCTGCTCTGGTTTGTGGCTGGCAAGTTGTGGTCGGAATGCGAGGGACAGGTGACTGGTTCATGGTCGTCTCCTACCTGACCCAACTCCAAGGCCCTCTGAACTTCTTTGGTTCCTTTTATCGCACTGTCCAGCAAGCCATGATTTCGGGAGAGAGATTGCTCGAGCTGTTCAAAATTCAGCCCACCGTAGTGGATGCTCCACATGCCGTCGACTTGACCAATTTCACTGGACGCATCAAGTGGAACAATGTCAGCTTTGCCTACGATAGACGCAAGCCGGCCCTAAGGAACATCAGTTTCGAGTGTGTGCCGGGCACGACAACAGCTTTTGTCGGCGAGTCTGGTGGCGGTAAATCTACCCTCTTCCGACACATGTTCCGATACTACGACTGTGATGAGGGCAACATCGAGCTCGATGGGCAAGACGTTCGCGATCTGACAATCAACTCAGTCCGGCAACACATTGGAGTTGTGCCCCAAGACACCACTCTTTTCAACGAGACGCTCATGTACAATCTCCAATATGCCAACCCTGACGCTAGTGAGGAAGATGTTTACGCGGCGTGCAGAGCTGCAAGCATCCACGATCGCATTATGTCTTTCCCCGACCAGTACAATACTCAGGTCGGTGAGCGAGGATTGCGATTGAGCGGCGGTGAGAAGCAGCGTGTTGCCATTGCTCGTACCATTCTCAAGGATCCTCGGATTATCATGTTGGACGAAGCAACATCTGCACTGGATTCTCACACCGAGCAGGAAATTCAGGACAATGTCTGGCAGATTGGTCAGGGGCGAACTCTGCTGATCATTGCGTAAGCTGGCCCCGACGGACTTGCTTTCATGGGATGTTCTATATGCTAACTTGTTAATTATAGGCACCGGCTTTCCACTATCACACATGCTGATCAGATCATTGTGCTCCATGCTGGCATGATCGCGGAGAAGGGCACACATGAGGAGTTATTGGCTAAACGGGGCCGATATGCTTCCATGTGGGAGAAGCAAATTCGTGCAGAACGCGCGCTTGACGCCGCCCGGGAAGCTCATCTCAAAGCCGCCAGGGCCTTAAGACGAGCTAACATGGGCGGACAGAAACAGTCAGAGTCATCGAGAACGAGCTACAACAGCTTGAACTCTACCGGGACCCTTGTTAACAAGGGCCTCAACTCCAACTCCGGCAGCAAGAGCGAAGAATGCACCTCGGCGTCGTCTGGATCATCGTCCAACTCGGATGCGGAGTCGACACACACTGATGAACATTCAGACGACAAGCGCGACACCTCGGAGGAACGACTGCCTGGGAAGTAATTTTTCACCTCCATCATTAAACTCGGCATTTCATATCATATGATAGACCACATCCCGCTCACCAGAAGCTTTACTGGTCTTCCTGCATACAAGCGGCGTTAAGGATGCGATGCTCCTGGCTTATTTTTTTCAAACTTCCTTCACTGTGAAGAAAAATTTTATCGTTATCGCTTATGGCTCACCTAAAAACCCAAAGCCGACTAATGCTTTCACTCTAATTATATGGCACTTGGTCTCCTCGAGGCGGCACATGCCGTCTCAACCGTCTTTGATCTGGTACACCATGAAGAGGAAACTCGGACTGGTTCAGACAATGACAGAGTAGGGAAGCTACTCCATATCACACTCTTTTGATCCATCACCATGACCGATTCGTGCTTTGCCCGTCGGCCATTCACGACGGAAACGATCACCCACCATTCTCGGGCTCGGAAACTTGGCATTTTATGAACACGCTCCATTCTTAGGCCATACAGCAACAAGTGTTGTTATAATTTTTATGCGGAACTGTTATAGCAGATGATTTTAACATAGGTTGGCAGAATAATTTTTGTGGAAGGACTGGAAGAGCGGTGGTGGTCGTCAAAGCAGGAACTTGCCTGGCTAGAAGACCTCCTCCCTTCTCCGCGCCGTCCTCCTCAGCGTTGTGATTTTCCTCCAGTCAGTACTGTTGAAGCGAAGACTGAAAAGTGAGAATTTCAACTCACTACATCCCCGAGCCCCTGCGCCGGGGTTGCAAGAAATGCGCGTGGCTTAGATTTTTGATTTGCAGCGAGCAGATTTATACGTTTGTTACTCATTGCTTCTTCCTCATTTATGGAAGACGAGGTCATGAAAGGGAAAAAAGGATAATAGGGGCCGCCGATATGCCTATAGGATGGCAAACTTATAGGATCGGCAGACTGGCTTTCTAAAAGAAAAAAGCGTCCTCAAGGATCTTGGAATGCAAAAAACAATTGATTCAGCACTTGATTTGTCCCTGTCCCCTCTGATTGTCGTGCTCTAATGGGTTGTACCTCGTAGTTGAATCGCTCGATCCGCTTCAGAGTAATGTAGGATGGTGTGTACGAAGCTCGGCTGAACCCCTTCCACCAAACACATCCTCGCTCTCTTGCTCCTCCCTCTTTACCTTTCGTCACAGTTTAAACCTGGACGGCTAACCAGCCGTGCTACGCCGCATACGGATACGCAACCCATATACTTGAGCTATCAACACCTCGATCTAGTGCCAACGGCGGGCTATAAAACGGCCAGCTAGCAAACATGACGGTTGCCCCCGCTGAGAGTAAAGGTTCCCAAATCCGGGCACTTTTGATAAAGCCGTTGATATCGCGTCTCCCGAGGTTCAAAGCTAGATGGAATCCATTGCTAGGTTATTGTGGTATCATTCGGCTGTTGTTGCTGGTCAGATTTTTGCATCTCGACCTGTCCATAACGTCACCTGTCGATAGTTCTAGGTCTCACATGGGAACTGTTTATAATATAGATGGCAGGGAAAAACCATATTCAGATGCAAGTGTATTTCTCAATAATTTCCTCATGTAAATTCGTGGTAAATTAGTTGGAACCCCGCCCCTCTGTAGCCAGCCCCTCCAAAATCCCCGTCTGTAAGTATGTAAAAGAAAAAAGCGAAAGTCATTGTACGTGTCAACTCTTCTTGTTGTACAGGAGATGAATTAAAAAAAGACCCAACTCCTTCATTATAGATGGCGTGATGATGATGATGATGATATGAGATGCAAAAATGTATACTGATAATGCCTGAACCAAGTCAAGATGGGTTGAATTACAAGTTTAAGGACACGCTTGGCCGCAGCTTATACTATCCTGCCAGCAGCGAAACAGCCAAGGCGGTCAGAGAAAGTGCAGATGAAGAGTATGTCGTAATTAGTTCTTGGCAGAGCCATTAGTGCCGTTCTGGACAGCGTTGCCATTGGTCTTGGGCTTGGCTTCAGTCGTCTCATCCTCATCCTCATCCTCGTCATCGGAGCGGTCGTCCTCTGCGACATTGTGTGCAACCATGCGATAGGCAATGCGGACGATGTAAAATAGCCAGAACAAGTTGAGGGCCTGCAGGCAGATGAGCAAGGTAGAGGTGATGACCTGGCCGAGGAGACACTTGTACTGTCCACCTTCCCAGTCAAGCAAGAAGGGACCAACGGTGCGGTACTCGGTGAACAGAGACCAGATGATCTTGAGGTTGATGAAGTGGCGGAGATAGATCCAGGCGCCCATGAAGACGACGAAGAAGGGGGTGAGGATGGCCGAGTCGAGATAATTGAGGGTCTTGGCGGTAGCAAGGAACCAGTCACTGATATCGTGGGTGATGTAGACAGCGATGCCGATGTAGGTGAAATGGAAGCGGTAGCTGAGCCCAATGAGCGTCAGGGTGGTAATGTGGTGACCGACCAGCTCCTTGTAGTCCTTGCGGGGCTTCTCCATGCCGAGGACGAGAACAATGGCCTGCTGTGCCCAGTAGGCAGCTTGGAAGAGGTAGTAAAACTTGAATTGGGCATCGTGGGTCTTGTGAGGATAGCTCTCGTACATGCCACGGGTGTTGAAGTACCAGACTGGCGTGAAGCTCATGACATACATGCCAAAAGGGCCGAGGAAGCTGAAGTAGACAGCCGTGTAGACCTGCTCCATGAAACGGGCAATCTTGTTCTTGCCGAGGCCAGCACGGCGACCCAGTGGGCGGATGATCTCCTGCATGACGAACTCGCGAGTAAACGACAGAACCACGGTGTAAAAGGCGACAAAGGCAATGTCCCAGAGGCCCTTTCCGTAGTGTTTACGCCCATGCTCGTCGTTGAAGGACTCGGGGAGCTCGTAGGAGAGGAAGATGAAGCGGTGGACGGGGTTGGAGGGCGTGGGGTTGACGGCGTAAGCGAGGCCGAAGAGGGCGATGATGGTCAAGGGGAGGACGAAGGTGTGCTTGACCATGGTATGGCGGATACGGGAGACGAGGCCGAGTTTTCGGCGGCGAGACACACGCTTGCCATCCTTGGTGGTGACTACCGTTGCGAACGACGGAGAAGCAGGCGTGCCACTGGCATCGACGGCTTTGAGACTCAGCCGACTGGTAGCCAAGGCTGGGGCAGTGTCGCCAGCACGGATGTCACCGCCTAGTGCACTGCTTCTTCTTGGGTGCCTTCGGTAGGGCTTGGGAGGCTGAGAGATGCCATTGCTGTGCAGCTGGTCGGCAGATGTGTTGAGAAGGGGGAACGGTTCTGACATGGTCGATTGATCGTCCTCTGGCGTCGAAGAGTGTGTTCAGGAGGCGAAGGTTGAGATGCGATGGAGAGTGTAATTTCCCGGGCACCGTCAGCTGGGCGCTCGTTATCGGCGTGCCTTGGGAGGAGGAGATGTAGGATCCTCCACGGTGAGCAACGGGGAGTCGTATGCGTGTCGTCGCGCGTCGTTCTAGGTGAGGTCGGAGCCGTTGTTGGGTGAGAAAGAAAATTCAACAGGTAATCCGATTATTTTTTCTCTCCTAGGTCTCTCGTGGCCGTCTGGGGATCTACGACCACCAGGGGGGGAGGGGGGTGGTGGGTTCGTCTAGGGTGAAACAGCCCAACACCGCTGGCAAATTAAACGCAGGAAATAAAAGAAGCTTGAAGAATCAACCCACGAGCGGCGGTATGGGGGATGCGGACTATATATGGTACGGCGATGAGGAAGCGAGTTTCAAATGCAAAAGGAGAGTGATTGATCGGTGATGTTGGTCGTCGCGGCGGCGAGATGCTGTCCGGTTTGCTCGGTTCGCAGACGAGGCGGGCTCTCTTGGTTCGCTCACTCGATCACAGTTGCGAATGGGATGGGATCCGTTTCGGCAGGGGCGGGAAGAAGCGTGGCGACGTCACGGGGGACAAGAAAATGGCCTGCCCAAGCGGTAGACTTTGTCCAATCCCGAGCCAGATTAGATCAGAGCAAGCCAACGAGACGGCTGCGAGCTAGACCCTGTTTCTAGCGCCGTTGTTTTTTGGGTGGTAATTAACAACCCTGTCGCGGTAAGCTAGATCCAACAGTGACAGGAGAGGCCGAAAGGGGGGGCCGAGAAGAGCAATGGATGTCAGACAGGTGATTGGAATCGGATCAACACATGTGATGTGATGTCGTCCCGGCTTCTTTTCCTCGCTGTCTCTAGCGATATGGTATGATGTGACGAGCGATTAGAGATTGCAAGTATATCCCGAAAAGCGGGTCGCTCTTTCTCACGTTGGACGCTTCGTCAAACACAAACGCCTTCTTCGGGTTTCGTGGGCAGGAGCGGGACAGCTTGAGGGAAGGAGCGGGCGGCAGTTGAACTCTGAGGGGAATGATGATCTATTCTCTATCCTCATTCTCTTCTCGGCACACGAGGCTTCTTATATATCTTTCTTCTCGTCTTCCATATTTCCATTTTTTATTTTATTGTTTCTTCAAATATCTCCAAACCATCCATCTTAGCGGCAGGGTGGAGGCACGGAGTCCGCTCTGTCTAGCTGATCAAATCTACCTGGGGAGGCGTGGAAATGCAAGAAAAAGATCCGTCGCATACCTTCTCCAACGTTGTGAGCAAACCCCCCGAGCCGAGTTTGTGCACTGAGCGCTGGCCCCAACCCGAAATGCACCGCGCGAGTCCGAGAGTCTGCCTCTGTTTGTCGGAAAACCCACAGGGGAACGAGGTCGAGTGTCGGATGCATAGGCGTCTATCCGAAAGGAGGCTTTTGCTTGGTTAATTTCTCTAGTTTCATCCAAGACGCAAGTCCAAATTGGCCGTAATCTGCCAAGGACCCCCAAATGGCCGGTACCTCGCGCTAGCAACGAGCTGCTCAGCAAACGCAGGTACCTATTTCTCTCTCGGGCAGGTCAGACGTGCATTCGAATGTGTTTTTACCTTTTTCTTACTGTGCTTTGCCCCCATAACTCCACCTGGCCGGGTCCAATCGCTTTGCCTCGTTCGCGGGACCTTTCATGTAGGTCACACCAAAACCTCCCATCCCCACTGTCATGGTGGTACTATTATGCCCGAATGTGCATGAGCCTGCGTCGTGCGACTTCCTGCCGAGATGACGGTTCACCCAATCAGCTGCTAGAGTTTCCGATCTTGTTGTTTTTGTCGCCCTGCAGTCCCGTCGTTCCTGTTCCTGAAGGCCATCAGAATATCTATTCATGGCCAAGCAACCAAGGCATGGACGCAAGCCAGGCGCTTGCTCGTCGGACACTCTGGCTTGTCCCGTCCCCAGCGGCATGCTGGTAAATCCATCCTGACGGAAGAGTATATTCCTCCGTCGGGACCCCCAGATAGATCCACGCAACTACCATCGCAATTCGCTAGCCAAAAAGAAACCGCTGGTCTTCCCTCCGGTCCATCGTCTTTAATCAGCAGGCAGCGCGCTTTCCCCACGCGTCAGATGTGTCCAGCAGGTTTCCAGCCACTGCTGGCAAGTGAATTAGAAAACCCTGCGTCGGAAACGTAGGCTCACCAGTCGTCGGAGGCTTTTCGCGCTGCCGGCCGGTTCCTGTATGTACATATACCCCTAGTACGCACATTGGTGCAGGCGCCAGGAACCGCTAGCATGTCGGGGCCACCATCTCACATGCAGTAGGGAGATGGACTACAAGATTTCCCATTAACCCCACCATTTAATGTCATTGGACGCCAGAGCACTGATATTACTAGCATGTCTTGTTCGAGCCAGACCTTGAGGCAAGAGACTGCGTGGAGACTTTGAGGGCAGGAGACTGCGTGGGATTAGGTAATAAACTCGGCATTGACGGAAACATTAAACAAGGGTTTGCCGTGAGACAAGACCGGCCGGACTCGCACCACGGGTCGGGTGCTCGTGAGGGTGAGACAGCACGGGTTCACTCTGGAATAGTCGCGAGAAATGTCACACAAATTTTGTATGTATTCGTGTTTGAGCCTCTGTCTGGGACTCTGCTCTCTCCTCCCGGGGAAAATACACGCCAAGAATGCTAAAACATGTCTTTGAACCACGATTATCATGCCCGCCGGTCCTAATATATCTAGCCAGTCCCCGTAATACGACTATGATACAAACATTTGACAACCAGCCAACTTCTCTCTTTTTTTCATCCGGTCCCAATACCGATAACACCGAGCTGTAGGAAGTTGGAATTGCCAGTACATATATCGTGTGTAAAAGGGGGTATCAGAATGCCCAAACCGTCCCTGGCTCTCGCAAACCAAGATGAGGAAAATCATTGCAAATGCGTAAAACAAAACAAAATCAGCTCCCAGCCTCAGCGCCGACGCTTACCCATGAATATTGGATTCAGAATGCATTGAAGAAAACAAGACAAAAAACGATGTGAAATGGGCGCCCAAACATGCATAATTCCCCGTTTCCTGACGTAGTAGTCAGGTTTAATAGTTTGTTTCTCTCATGTTGTTCGCGTTGGACCCGACCCGTCTTCATAGTCACGACGCTGGTGATCAACGGAAGATGTATCCGTCATCGAATCATCGTACGAGTACTGGTCGTCGTCGTACCCGGCCCGGGCTTGTACGCCAGGCCACAGCGGCGGGTTGTTTGATGGTAGAGAGTCGTGGCCCCGCGAGGTCATTGACATGACGCTTTGTCGCCGGCCCAATTGAGACATATCCCCAGAGGTGCTTGCGTTGCTTGCTCGGTGTCCGCTGCCCGAGAAGGCAGCCTCCCTGTTGTTGTTCGTGCCCTCTTCCTCGAGGACCTGTTGTAAAGCGGCTCCCCTCCGAGCTGGCGCAGGAATGACTCTCACTGGAAGATTTGCCGTGTCTGTGGTAGGACGAATGCGATCTCGGATTTTCTCGGCTTGGTTGGCCGCAAAGTCTTCGAATCGCGCGCGCAGGTCCCATCGTTTCACAGCGTCCAGTGCTCCCGAGGGCCTGTATACCTCGGGTTCTTGTGCGTTTCTATGATCTCCTGCTGTGGACGAATCTTCCCTAACCTGACTACGGTCTGGTATTGTACCCGGGGTTGCTGTTCGAGGTCCGGAGGGATTTACTACCCCGCCATTGGTGGCAGATTCAAGGTCCGAAGGCCTATGCGACATGGATGACGACCTAGGTTCGTTATGGGAGACTGCGCCAGATGTCAAGTTCGGTATGGCCGCTTCCTCGCTGGTATGGTTACTTAATGGGAAGCTGGGCTGCCTTGACAAATCCACCATGCTCTGTTGCGCCCCCAGGGGTTCTGGAGTCCTGGTTGTCGCCTCGGAAGGTGGTTGATAACGGATCGCGTACACTGTGCTGGCTGCGCTGGCAGTATCAGTTCTGCTGACGGGCGTTGCGGTCGGCACAGGTCGAGCTGGCCATAGCGGCGGACGTATAATGCCTCCCATCACCTGCATCTGGTGGCCTTCTGGATCATTGCCAGAATGTCCCTGCCCGCGGTAACGATTGGCGATGGCAGCGACATTTTGCCAGCCACCCGGGGAAAAGCCTGGGGGCCCAGAGATCCCATTCCCACCTGCGTCGTTTCCGTTCCCAGGCCCGCCTCTATGATTCTTGAATTGCCGAAGCCATGACGACTCCTCGGTGGCAGTGACCTCTAGAGTGTCGTCTCCGTCAAAGACTTCCCTCCCGAGAACCCCGTCCTTCTTTTCCTCACGTTCCAGCGCTTCTATACGTTCGACCCATTCCCACACAACCACACTGGCCGCCGCCGCACCGACCCATCGGACATAATCCCCCCATGCTGCAAATGTAGGTTTTGAAATATCCAGGATAAAGAAGACGACGGGAATAAGTACCGAAATGATAGACATAACGGCCACCAGACACATGTTCTTCATAAGAGGATGATAGAAGGCGTACCGCTTCTTCATTATTGCATAGTATATCACCCAAGCAGCGTACAAGATCCCTAGCGATAGTTGGAACAGATAGCTGAGCGCGGGCACCGGGTGAATGAAGCTGTTGGGCCGGCTCGTGCCCGTCACGCCGTCCGCCGAGTAGCGGAAGCTGTTAAGGGCGGTAAAGATGACGTCTAACGTGATGAGGGCGAAAGCCACCCATTTGATGATGTTCTTCTCCCGCTGACGAGGAAAGATGCGGATCAGAGTCTGAGCCTGGGCCAGCCACAGGAACGTATCGGATATCAGCCGGATCACTTTGAGCCCGAGGCTCCCCATGACTTCGATCTGCATCAGCTTTGCGTTCTGAATCCCCCATTTGTACTGTTGCTGAGCAACATTAAATGTAAGCGTGCTCGCCACCGTTAACGAGATTGCGACTGTTAGAGTCGCTACTTTTTGTAACCACGGGCGCCTCCCGATATTGACATTGCTCGAAGTGTTGTGCGCAAATCCCCGCCTACCCAGATACATGATCCCCCCGTCGAGAAAGGACTGGGGCGTGATGAACAACATGACGACCAGCATGTAGGCCGTGATGGTGGTGGCCGCCAGGGCATAGCACATGGGAAACTGGGTCGCATAGAACGGATCGCGAAAGTCGGAGACCTGGTGGTTCTGCGACTCCGCGGCGGACGATAGAGTCGACTCATCGGTGTAGCTTCCAAGCTCGGGAGTATCTCGCGGCGCAAAGTCGATGGTCGGGCACGGGATGTGGACAATGGCATCGTGGGTGAGGGTAATGGGCTCGAGGCCCCCGCCGAGGTGAAGGATAGCGCTTGCCGGCAAGAAAGTTGATGCGCAGAGGGTCGGCAGCGCTGCCGACCCCCCAACCAAGCTCATGGTTATGGCAAGACGGGTGGTTGTTGAATAGACACGGCCGGTTTGCCGCCCGGGTTGAGGACAGCCACCCTGATTGAGGCAGCTGCGGCAGTATGTACGGATAGCACGTGTGCTAGGGAAGCGGTGCCATGGAAGCTTATCTTGTCGATTCGTAGTTGCGATCCGGAGGACTTGTGGAAGAATACGCGCGTTCTGTTACTTGCGTGTCGCGCCAAGACTGAGCGTAGGGACCAGGTGCGAGCCTTACGCTGCATGCGAAGGCTGGAGTCGCATTTGATGTTGAATAAATTGCCTGGACACGGAGCCGAGAAAAGATGAAAGGAGACAATCAGAGAAATGCAGTGCCAATAAACCCAAAGGAATCTGAATTGTGAGCGAGAGAGTCGGCAATTGGCGTAATGCGAGATTCGTGGGGAGAGATAATTAGGGGGGTCTGGATAGACACGGTTGGGCGTCTAAGCCACACACACCTGCTTGCTCTTTCTGGCCCGGAGGTGGGAATGGATCAATATTTGGGGGGTAGCGAGACTTTGCGGGAAATTCGCATACACCGGTTCTGCTTATTCAAACGAGAGTAGGGAGGTGAAAATAACCTTTTTGCGTCGCTGGGCCTTTGTAAATTGAACAAGGATGGGAGCGGCGGGAGAGAGCGAGGAAGGAACAGAGGCATTGTACGTAGGCATCTGCAGCAGAGAGGGGTTCATCTCTGGTTCCAGCTCTGCCAATCCTTGTTCTGCTGGACTCTGAAGCACCCGAGTCCGACCAGACGTACCGTGTGTGTCTGACTCTCCCGCACAGTCCTACCCACCCACTGGCATACCTAATTGCCACCTACACAAGCGGCTCCTTCCGTCGACACAGAATTTGTATGACTTGTTAGGTATTCGTGAATACACTTATCTAGTACATCGGAATTTGGCACAGCCTCCAGGTCTTATTATTCGACACTAAATTATCCATAAAAGCAAACTGGCTCCCCTTCGCTGAGACAAAATCACACCACCACATTTCAGCAGAAATATTTGAGCGTCCATGGCGGCCGCATGACTCGCGATGCTCAGTCGCTAGCGCCGGACAGAACACAGTGCGCCACACCCTATGGCGTAGAGGCTCCCCACCACCTGCCAATCCAGTGGCAGAAACCGCCCAGCCAAACCGCTAGTGAGCCCCCCCCAATTGCCTGATTCCCCATTCTGTAAATAGGCCCCCCCCCGCCAGCGATGGAATAAAGTAGTAAGTGTGCGCGATCCAAGATAAGCTCGCCCGTTCTGCTGACAAACAAAACCCAACCTCCATCAAGAGGAATGTGTGGAAGATCCGGATGGATGTTACTTTTCGCGCAAGGGGGCCAGTATAATGTTGGGACGAGGCCCAGGTGTCGGATCCTGGCTCCAGCTCAAAGGGCCTTTTTGATCCTCTGCTCGCTTCGCCTGCGGCTCGGCAATCACCCACCAGCCGTCATCTCTGGGCAAAATCTATGGAGGGGGGTGGAGGGTTCAAGACCGGAAACCATGGACGGCGCCGCCATGTTGGTTTCAGCAAATCTGTATTTCCACGCCTCTTCTTGGCATCCCATCCTCTCCGCCCCGTGCTTTTCGATCGCGTCGTACCCCAAGGGCCAAGAATCAATCATGCATGCACGTCGTTGAGGCTTCGGAAGCATCTTGCCGCCCTTCTCGACGTCTTGGCAAAGCTTGTATCAACCCGCCGAGGGCTTGGCACTCATAATTGGCCTCCTTGGTTCTGCGTAGCCCACGGAGGATGACACCTCAATGTCACACAGACATTTAAAAAAAGAGGGACAGTGCATTGTGAGGTAAGGGTTTGTAGAAGTTTTGTCCGCTGTATTGATACTATCTGATTGCCAGCTTATGCCGGCCAACCTCCTCAGAATCCCCCCGTTCTTTTGTCTCTAGCGAATTAAATGGCCAGCCCCCGATGGAGGAGCCGTGCCTCTTGGGTATTTTTTTATCCCCTGTTACAAAAAGATTATTTCATATGTATCATGTCCTTTCTTCCTCTGCGTCCTCCTCATGCAATGCTGGAAGATGATGTAAAAAAAAGCAAAATGCGAAAACCAAAACTTGCGGTGAGAGGTGAGACAAAGTACAAACGCAAGTGTAGGAAGCATATAATAGAAAGAAAGAAAAAAATGCCGAGTTATCGCTTAGGAAAGAAATGGGGAAAAAAAAAAGTAAATGACCACTTTTGTTTGTTTGACTTTGTCGCCGCTGATCTCTAGTCCACGTGTGGAATGAGAGGAGTGTAAACCGGTTGGTGTCGCTATCATATCTCATGTGTGAGCTCCCTCATTCGCCGGAGCTGTGGCCGAAGGCGCGGTACTGCATCTCGAGCACCCAGTTCCCATTGAACTCGATGCCCCGCCGCATCTTCGTTCCTGCTTTTCGCCAGACCGAGCTCCCCAGGCCCATGTCGGCAACGAACAGTCGCCAGTTGTCCTCGTGGGCGACTGAAGCCGTTTCGTCGTCATCGTCAGGAGGCGTGACGGCTTCGAGAAGGCCCCGTTTTGGCGCTCCGATAGCTACCACATATCGTGGCTTAACGAAAAGTGGCGTTCCATCTATGATGGCAATCTTGCCCGAGGTCGGGTCGATGCCTGACGGGATGTCTACGGACAGCGTAAACGCCTCGTTCCGGTTCGCCCACTCCATGAGCTCGTACACGGTAGCCTGATCACCGACCCGCAGCTCCTCAAACGACATGGTGAGGCCTAGCAGGGAATCGATGATGAGTGAGATGGGTATCCGAGTCCCCGACGCAGCGTTCTTCCGTAGGTACTCGAAGAATTCCGTCTTGCTCATCACCTTCCCACCAAAGGCTCTGTAAAGGTCAATCTGCCGTCGGAGATCCTCGAGCAGATCACGTTCCCGCTCGATTCCCACGATGCAAATAACCACATCAATGTTCCTGTTGCGGAGGTGCCGAGCCGCCGCCATTGCCCGCACGCTCGACTTATTGTTACCTGCCAGAATCACCGTCGTCGAGTTGTCCAGCGACGCCTCGCAGCCGGCCATTTCGAACCGCACTTTAACGGCCGGATCGGCAAGAGCTCGCAGGGCTACTTCAGCTATCCCTCGCCCCGAGTTCTCGGCCATGAGATCCTCCGTGAACCCAACCTCGTTCGCCGCAATGTTCTCGAGGTTCAGCATCTGTAGCGAGGATATCGTTTCCAGTCGACGGTTGGAGGAGATGACGTATAGCCCAGGGCGATTCGATCGTTGCTGGTTGCTGTCAGTATGCAAGCCACTTCTCCTTCTATTGACAATCGGGCTCCGGCGCACAAGAATACTCATCTCACTTACCGCGGAGTTCACCCTCGACAGTGGCTGGGCGCCAATGACCACCTGGCTAGCCTTGCGGGACTGTGACCGCCGTGAGACGCCGCGCTTACTCTCGTTCCTACGCAGACTGGAGGCTCTGGGTTCCCGGCCAGAGTTCCTCTCGCCGCTGTTGACAGCATGCGGGTCGTCCGCCTCGCTGTTCCAGAAGCCGGCGTTCTTAGCGATGGCGGTAGGGATCTCAAGCACGTTTTCCGTGTAATGCAGATTCTTGCCTCCGTTCGTCCCTGGCTTCGGTCGGCGGTTGTGGGAGACGAGTCGGTCGCCCTCGTCGATCTGATCCTCTTTCCGCATCTGGTCAAAGATGGTCCGCTTGTCAAACTTGGCCAGGTTGTTCTCGAAATCAAATTCGCCCATTTCCTCCGTCACATCCTCCGAGGCCCAGCCATTCCCGTCTCCGTTCCCTTTCCGCCCCCGCGATAGACGCTTCAACGATGTGAAGGGTTGAAACGCTGCCGTGCTCTGCAACATCGGCGTCTGCCTCCAACCTTTGCCTCGGCCGCTCGGTTGTGGCTTACTCGCTGGGGAATGCTCGAGCGCTGTGTCCGAATCCTGCCCCGGTGGGATAACCTGCTTCTTGGGCCGCCTTCTTCGTTTTCGCTGCTGTGACTTTGCATTGTTTGTGGGTTCTTCCGAGTCCGACGGTTTCGTGAGTTCTACCCCAGCTGCCGCCTCTACCAAGTGCAGGCGCTCCAACGGGATATGCCCTGCGACCTCGACGGCTGGAGACTGTGACCTCGGCCGCCGGTTCACGTGGATGCCCTGCAGCACACCTGGTGAGTCACTGCCGTCGAGCATTTCCAGCAGAGTCGGGGATAGCTCCCCTTCGCTAGGGAAGCTCGTAGCCACTGCTGGCTGTGTAGGCCGCTTGACGCTGAGGATGGCAGGGTCATCGAGATGGGGGTGGGAAGCCTGCGTCGGCGTGCTGACCACCGGTTCTGGGGCTTGCGCGGAGGCAAAGTAGGCTTGCTGGGGGTCTACCTTGACTTCACTGAGGTCGGCGATGTTGCTCGCATCGATTTTCGTCTCGGGCGACCACTCGTTCGATCCCGCCACGAACACTAGCGCAGATGTCAAGGTTAGCATACACTCTTTCTCCCTCGTCCTTCCACAGATTCACCGCCCCGCTGGAATCTGCGGCGCTACACCTGCAGGACTGTAGTTGTGATATGTCGCGAGGGGTCTTACCGTTGATCAGGGTCAGGCTGCTTCCAGCCTCGACATCTCTCACGGTACCAGTTACCTGGTACCCAGCAGGCTCCCTCAGAACCACCCGCATATGCAGGCCGACGAAACGGGCTGCCATGTTGGAAGTTCCAGGGGAGTCTGACTGCTCGACTTGGACGTTTCTGCCGTCGTTGCGATTGTCGGTGTTGTAAATATTCGGGATCGTGTGACGATTTGTGGATTGGGTGCTGGGCCGCAAGAGGGTTTCGTGCGGACCTGTTTGGCTGGCGTGTGTGTTGAGGGGCTCTCTGTCTGCGAAGTCGCTGGGCTAGGCAATTCGATAGCTTGGGACGGTGCTGGTTCTTGCGAGCACGTGTCCAGTCCGGCGAGGGGAAAAGTTGAGGTTGAGGTCGAGGTTGAGGAGGGAGGATGGGGGGACCACCTAGAATTCAATGGGTAAATTCTGTAGGGCTGCCAATTATGGTCGTGCGCTTAAATTATTTAGCCTTCGTTGGACAATCCACTGCGATGGTTGAGTCGCTGGGTTCAGCAGAGAAAGAGCGTCGTCCCACAAAGCAGCCCGATGCCTAAGCCGAAAAAATCCAGAGACAAAAAACCCAATCGAGAGACATAGAGCAGGGATGAGATGGAGACAAAGTATATGGCAGAGAGAAAGAAGGACTAATAATAATATATCGAGGAGCTGGGTGAAGAAGGAAGAGAGCAAAAAATTACGTACAATGCGGGAGACTGTTGTAGAACTGCAGGTGGCCGCGCTCCGAGTACAGGCCGTCTCACCCCAGGCACGGCGTCTCCTTGCTATCGATGTCCGATGTACGTACGATGCACGCGAGATGCTACACCGCAGATTGGGAGACATTAGCTGTCTTTCCCGCCAGTTTGTCCCATGGTGTGGATAGCACTACTATTATTACCTTGTCATGTCGTCGGTTTAGCAGCCTGGTGCCTGCCTGTCCCCAGAAGCATTACTATAATTAATTGGCTAGAGGCTTTGTCGGCAGGTGCCCAGGCTGTCAGTGCCTTCCCAAGCCCCCAAAAGCCCCCCGTCGAATGAAGGAACGAATGTGCCGCTAGCCCGCGACCGGCCTAGTGCCGTCCATGGTCCTTCTATGCCAATTACCCGTTTCCAGCCCGTGGGAAGGGATCGTTATAGCTGAGGCGATTGCTGTAGGCACCCGATGGCAGCCTGGAACTTGTAGCGAGCAATCTCCAGGCAGGCCTGTTGACCGGGGAGATGGATCTTATCGATTTATTAGCTGAGCTAGCAACGGCTTACCCTGACGCCGGGACTGACTCAGGCCATATCCGATGCGCATTACCTCCACCGCCGACATGGATATGGGAGCTCGCAACGGCCGGTGCGCTCATGGCATGCCTCAGTCCTAATTACATGTTTCTGCCAGCACGGAAGGCGGCAGACCTCTCGGACGGGATTTGTCACACTCAGACATACAAGGTATGCTGCGCTCGGTATTCGGGATGTGGACTCGCCTGCGCCCACCACTACCCTCAGATTTTATGGTAGCACTGGCCGGCGAATGAGTAAGGTCCCTGGCGATTGCATCATGCATGCAGATAGATGCCCATTCGAATGTTCCGTGGATGCACAGCGATAGGCTGGGATGGTACGCTGACGCGCTTCGCTGTCGAATAGTTCAGCCGACGCTGACATGCAGGCTTCCCTGGGTGTTACCTCGACTCCGTGTCGCAAGATCGCAACTATCCATCCGTCTGATGCCCGTTGCCGCTTGGCAGGACCAAGTAATCAATCATAGATCGCCTCCATTTCACCCAGATTTTTTTGCTCTCCCCCCAAACTCTCTTCCCTTTTCATCAAGGTCACCTGGGTTGACATTTCTATCTGGCATGTCTCACTCGCCATGAGCAAATCCCAAGGCGTTATTGCGCTGGTCCCTGCCAACTCGAGTAATTTGCTGGCCCTGTTGAATGCCCAGGTTCATGCCCCAACAGGAGATTGTCCCGAAGAAAGGCGATTTGAATCACACAAGGGTCACCCTTCCCAGGAATCAGTCTCACGTATTGAGACATGACTGAGATATCAAGCCCTCGCTTTTGCCCAGGCCGGTTCTCGGGAACTATCCATCGCGCATCACGGCATGGAGCAGGCGGAAACATGCATGTACGGCAGTTATAAGTCATGTCCGATACGAGACACAATGTGGGCATTGACACCTGAATGGACACATACCTATTGCCTATTCATCCAGGGTCCGATGGATGGTATGCGTTTCACCCCACATACCTGGCTTCTAGCACTCAGTAGCGAGACTGGCGAGAGCTTCAGGAAGGCCCAACGTAGTGTGAACTCTTTTGCATTCTTCGTGACGATATAGTAAACCTATTCATGCTGTGGTGGTATGGGCGACCTCGCCTTTGTGTTGGATCCTAAAAATATGACACCTTGAAAACTCCACTTATGGCCCTTTCCTCTATGGTTTTTCTACAGAGTGGTAGTTCGCCTCCCATGATTCTTCATATCTCAATGCCTACAATGTATATAATTGCCAAAAACATCTTAATCATCTAACAAGCTGACGACAGTAGGCGCTGGTTTCTTAGATATTAACGGAGGGCCCTTTCGACTCGCCGTTGCATCGGTGAATGAAGATGCCTTTCTCGCATGTGCATCATCTACACTGTATAATTGTTTGTAGAATTGGCAAACTCGAGGGTGAGCCATGACTTTGGCCTTGTTGAAATTGAGCACCTGGAGCCCTGCCTGGCTGGTTGCTCGACTCAAGGCAACATAAGCTTGGCCTCTCTCGAAAATTTTGCCCAGGTTAACTGTCACTCTCTCCAATGTCTGGCCCTGAGCTTTGTGGATGGAGAGCGCCCAGGCCAGAATCAAGGGGAGCTGGTGGCGTTTTGCCTGTACCTCGCCGTTGGGAAGCTCTACCTTCCATTCTTCTGGTTGGCACAAGATAATTCGGCTCGTACCGTCAGTAGCGGTAAACTGAACAACTGGGAACTTTTGCCCAGAATCAGAGTCGATATCCGCATCTCGGCTGTACCCTTTCAACTTCTTTCTAGCCTTGTCCATTGCGTCGCTCATTTCGTCATCGTAGCTGTCAGCGCTGGTCATGTCGAAGGTTCTCTCATCTGAGAATGCAATGACCTTGCCAAGCGATCCATTCACCAAATTCTCGTCCAAGTTTTTGATAAGCATTACTTGAGCATTGACCTTCAGATCGATACTTTTCGGGGCCATCATATTTGCCAAGAGCTTGTCACGAATCGCTGGTTCACCTGAATCATATGCAGGATACCTTTGAACGACACCAGGAAGGCTTTGAAGACGAGAGGCATTGGAGTTCTCGACCTGGGCCCGGGTCGGGTAAAGCTCTGCCATGTCGACACCATCGTTGAATTTTAGAGGTCGCGCCAGCGCCTTGAATGCTCTTTCTGATGCTGGGCTGATCTCTCCAAGTCGCATTTCGTTGAGCATCCTTGCGAACACCGGATCCCGCTGACGGAAAACTTCCGTGAGACCAATTGTATGATCAATTGTTGTGTTCCACGTCGATGCCTCGAATGCGAACTTGACCTCCCGCTTTGAATCACCATCAGGAACTGGCGGAAGCTGGAAAAAGTCGCCCGTTATGATGAGCTGAATGCCTCCCCAGGGGCGGCCGTTGTTTCGGATAACACGTCCAATCTGGGAGAGTTTGTCAAACAGCTCTGCATCCACCATGGATATTTCGTCGATGATCAAGCACTTGGCTTTCAGCCAGCGATTCTTGGCCTTTTGGTTCCGTCTGATCTTCTTTGTCAATGTGGCAGCATCCTCTTTTCCAAGTCCGATACCTATATGAGCATATGTGAGTAAATTGAGCACGCCAAGTCGGGTTGCTTCTGGTTAGATGGCTTACCTGAAAAGCTGTGGAGTGTAATACCACCAATGTTACAGGCAGCAAGTCCAGTGGGTGCTGTCACAGCAACACGCTCTGGGTCCCTGGCATATTTTGCCTTCAACTCCTTGATAATTGCTCGCATTAACACTGACTTTCCGGTTCCAGCTGGTCCCGTGAAGAAGAGGCTTTTGCCCTTGTTTACCACCAAGTCCAAAATGCGTTCTTGTTCTTTTGAAAGAGCAAACACATCACTCTTGGGCCTAGAAGCTTCGGCAACTATCTGAGCAATATCCGGGGGCAGTTCATCCTTAGTTTCTGCCTTGGAAGTTTGGTGTTGGTTCTTCAGCAATCGCTTTTTCTCTTTAGTAGCACTTGCCGAAGGATCCCAGAAGCCCTTGGAGCTTTGGTGAGCTGGTGTTTTGGCCACATTCGAGGTAGAGTCCCAGTTGGCTTCATCATCCTCATCTTCCTCTTTCCACGGAAGTCGGCTGCGCTTTTTGGCCTTCTTGATCGGAGGCAGATCATCATCCTCTCCTAGAGACTCACGTTTCAGAGACCCGCCTGTAGTGGTCGATATACTCGATTCTGCGCGCGCTAAACTAGGCTTCTCCCAATGTGAGGGTGGTGAGGAAGACCATGACATGTATTGTGACGAAGGAGGAATGTTCTCTTTGGGTTTGGAGACTTCCGGCTTGCCGGGGAGAGCTATTGGGGCTTCAAAATCGAGATCGAGATTATCATCATCGCTGAAATCGTTTTCATCGAACCATACTATATCACTGACTGAGTTTTGGGTGCCATTTCCACTGGCGAAAGCATGGCTCGACTCGTCCTTGAAAGAATTCGAGCTGGAATGTCCATATAAGGACATCAGCGAACCTCGCCCGGTCGCTTGCTTTGGTGTAGGCTGGGTCGAGGTTTCTGCTTGAAGACTCTGGTCCGTCCTCGCCGGCCCGGAAGAGAAGCCCGAAAACCCTGGCTTTTTGAACTGCATCCTGATATCACTGCCGCTACTTGAACCCGGAGTTTGGTTTGTCGAAGGAATGCCAGCTTGGTTTAGATGCTTGGCGAGAGGGTTTCGGGGGGGAGGTGGGTTCGCCACATAGGCTTTGTTGGCTTTGCCTAACATTGCGTCGGATTCTACTATCGTGTGCTGGAGGTGGGCGGGTGGTGTATTGGCATGAAGCAGCTGCGAAGACTTCCGGGCAAGACAACGACTGGACGGCGAGGATCGGAATACGAGAGCTGGAAACCTTGGTATCATAAAAGAGGAAAGAAGCGAACAATTCGTAGCGGCGGGAAGGAGTCGTGGGATCTCGACAGGCTAGACGTTGGGAGTCGTGAACCTCGTCTCCCAGCCGCGGGGAAGACAGGACGTTGTATCACGAGGCGACCCGAGTGCTCTAACTTAGACCTAGTAGCATGCGGCCTTTATCGATGGTGTAGATCCAAGACGAGCGAATGGATAGGTGACTCTTTGTGTGATCAGGAACAAAGAGCCTTCAATTGATCCCTCTCGATCCACAAGATTGTCAGTCGCGACTTGTGGGCGACTCATTAACAACCCGGTCGTGACTACCCCCCTAACCTAGAGCGGAGGAAGAAGAAAATAAATGGCATGGACAGGCGACGCGCCGCTCCACAAAGGCAAGCGCGTCTCTCTCGCGGTCACGTGAGCCCATTAACTTACATCGTTCCTACCTACCCTACCAAATGCATGTCATCTCAACAGAGACCTTGGCTTGGCTCATTGCATTCTTCTTGAGCTTGGTAACTATTCGCAAAAAGAAATTACGGCAGATTTGTCGCCTGTCTTCTCGGATTGTGCTGAAGCTTTTACCTCGTGCAGTATATTAGGCTGTCTGCCCACCCAAAATATATCTCCAGACTCTCTCTTAAAACAGCGACACTAGGTTCAATCGCCATAGGTAGCACGTCTCCCCCGACGAGAAAGAGGAACGGCTTAGAAATACAGGACTATTCGCGATGAGCATCACCGATGCCTAGTAGCTGGCTCATAAAGTCGTTCTTGATTGAATATTAATGCTAAGCTAAGCTAAGTCAAGAAAAAGAAACAATCTTCAGGTGTCTGTCTGTTTCCCACCAATACTGTGAATACACGTCGAACGAACTGAAACAAGCTAATTCATCAGAATAGCAGATAATTATGTTGTTAAACACAATCAAGCAATTTACGAAGATCCTCACTCTCTTCCTCTGGTTGCATAGGTTGGTCGCCTTCCTGTCGGCCTCTCAGGGGAGGGGGAATAATCCCGAGAGCTCATATGCCTAGATCTCGGTTCCCTCCTCTCATAACGCCCTTCGTAACGGTCACTCGGCTCATGGAAAACTCCCTCAGTAAATGGTCGTATTTTGTCACCAAAGTTGTCTCTCTCGTACGGACGTCCTGCCCGATCTCTCCCACGGTCTTCTCCTAGAGGAGATCGACTGTGGCCACTTCTACGCCAAGGCTGACCTCCATCGAGAATCTCGCGGCCAACCTCATCCGGGGTCATCCGGCGCACGCTCTGAATAATTCGCGGCGCATAACCCTCATGCCTCGAGTAGTTATTGCTATCATCTCGAGCTCGGCGAGGGGAGGGTGAGATACGCCGCACGTATTCTGGTCCATTTTTATGAGCCGGTCGTGGAGAACGTGCACTCTCGTATGTGTAGCGAGGCTCATCATCGTAATACCTCCGAGAAGATGGCGATGGGGCCCTACGGACGTATCTCTGGTCTTCGGTATAGGCCCTGCGAGGAGGAGGTGAAGCCTCACGAGCGAACTTGCCGGGCTTTCCATGATTACGGGTGGGGATGCTAAAGTGCTCTTCTGAATAGCGTCTCGAGCTCTTCTTCACTTTATGATGCGATCCGCCCGAAGTGGACGTTGCTGGAGTAGAGACGTCGCTCGCACTATCTGACCAACCACCACCGTAATCGGAAACAGATTCCTCAGAGATGCGAGGCGAACCGGGATGGACATGACGCTTGTCTGAGGAGACTTTCCCCTTTCTATCCCCTTGGTGCTTGCCGTCCTTGTTTGAGGAGACTGGGTTTGGTATATGAAGAGGTGGAACATGAGGGGGCGGCGGAAGAGGCCCCTTATCTCTACCCATCCCCCTCTGTGCTTGTTGATCTTTAATTTGCGCCGCGACTTGTGCTGGGATAGGTTGGGCCTTTTGCTGCTGGTTTTGGGGAACACCAGGATGGCCTCCCGGCCCTTGAGGCAGCTGTACAGGTTGATGCAGCACGGCAGGCTGAGCTTGTTGGGCTTTGGCAGCCTGACTATGTTGCGGCTGTTGCGCCATTCCAGGGTGAGCCTGTTGATTTTGCAGATTTAACCCAGGCTGCTGCTGCTGGGTTTGAGCGATGCTAGGCTGGCCCTGTGGTTTGTGCTGCGCTGCCGGCTGTTGCGGCTGCTGTTGCGGTGCCATGCCAGACTGAGCTGGCTGCCTCTGCTGTGGCATTTGAGGCTGAGGCTGAGGCTGAGGCTGAGGCTGCTGTCTTTGCTGATTGATAACAGGCTGCTGCTGGGGATTCATGCCAGCGTGACCCTGAGGGGCCACGGGAGCCTGTCTCTGTTGGTTGATAGCGGCAAGGCCTTGATGGTCTTGGTGATTGAAACCTTGATTTTGGCCTTGTTGCTGCGGCCTCTGTTGTCCCATGCTAGCCTGCGGCTGCGGCTGCTGTTGTGGCATCACGCCAGCGTGACCCTGAGGGGCCAAGGGAGCCTGTCTCTGTTGGTTGGCAGGGGCAAGACCTTGATGGTCTTGGTGACTGAAGTTTTGAGGACCAGTATAATTTTGGCTCTGTTGCTGCGGCCTCTGTTGACCCATGCCAGCCCCTTGCTGTTGGCCCATATTAGGCTGCTGGTGAGCTTGGTTCTGAGGGTGTTGTTGATGCATATCATATTGTTGCTGCTGCTGACGATTCACAACAGGTCTTTCATGATGACCCATGCCAGCCTGGTTCTGATATCTGGCATCATAGTCATGATGATCTCTGGTGGGATAGCGTTCTTGACTGACACCACCACGCGAAGAGTACTGCGACGGAGAGTGCATATTGTCATAGTCTGAGAAATGTCGCGGATCTCGACCGCTCTCCGGAGAGCGCCGATCACGTTGATGATACTCAGCAGGCCGCCGATACCGCCGCATCTCATCATCTTCCCGCGACGCCTCACTTTCTCTGAAGGACTGCGGGGGGTACTCCTCAGGGAGCAGAGTCCGTTTAAAATAAGCGGTGATAGAGACGAGCGCAATCATGTGCTTAGACTTTGAGCTGCTGCTTCGTCCTCTATCTTTATCGCTCTTGGACTTTTTGTGACCCTTCGAGGTGGTCTTTGACTTCTGCCTCTTCCGGTCCTTGCTCCTGTTGCGCTTCTTGTCGCTTCTACTCCAGTCTTCGTGGAGTTCTTCACGGGAGTCTCGTAGTGAACGATCCACCTTCTGAAACTTGGTTTCAAACTGGATGAGCTCATGAGAGAAGGAGTAAGGATCTTCTTCCTTGTCCTCCAGGTATCTACGGGCGTACTCCAGCTTCTCCTGCATGAGCGACGATAGTTCCTCCTTGAGTTTGTCCAGAACTGGGAGCGTGTGCTGCTCCAGCTGCTCAACTTTGCGCATAGCAGCGTCGTTTGTAACGTGGACCTCAAAGATCTTGGCATGCTCCCAGGGGCGTTGGACAGGGGTGCCATCTTCGTCATGTCTGCACATATCTATCTGGACAACACGGATGGTAGAATTGTCATCTAGAACTGTGAATGTATGACGGCTACCCCGAGCATCATGATACTGGGGCCGCAGCCCAGACCGCTGAGGTGAGGCTGTGCGAGGATAGTATCTCTGGCTGCGCTCACGACGAACTGCTAATGGCATGTCGTCTTCATGGCCCCTGGACCATTGAGAGGGACTATAGCTCTTCCTGGGGATGGGCATGTGAAGAGAATCAGGGTCAACCCTGCTATGAGGCCTGCTGTATGGCCCTTGACCAACAGGAGGAGGAGGGAGTGCAGTCCCGCGGCCGCCTTCACGAGGAGACCCTGGTCCGCCGGTCTGAATGAAGCCTTGTGCCCCATTCATGGTGGATGAATTGATGAATGAGTGAATGAGGGAAGAGAGGGAAGAGGAAAGAATGATTCTATGATTAACAAAGGCTAACACAGGTAGGTAAACTTTTTCAAATTTCGATCAATGAGTGACCTCCTTGCTCAAGGCGGACACAAGAAAGTTGACCGAAAGAACTCCCCCATGACCATCAAAGGGCTTCGCCTCGTTCTTCTTATACATTATGCCTGACTATCTAACCTCCCAGCAACGCCAAGGGTCCCCAAAAAATGAGGCGGACAATGTTGTGCCCAGCATGCGAGATGCCTCACGAATCGAGGTAATGGTGAAGTCATCGCTAGGCCAGACCAGCTTGCCACGACACTGGATGGCACACCATTTGCAAGCGGGCGAGTGGTTCTCACAGACGACTCGTCCGGATACAGCGGATACTCTGCGTATACTTCCTCGATGTTATGCAGCAGACTTCAAGAGCCTCACTGTGGATGTGCAGAACTGGCTTACGTGGGGTTGGGCAACAATGAATATCCCACACCCGATGAGTTGGGCCACGACGCAGCAGAGAGTGTGTGACTTCTACAGTACGTGCATGCAGATACTTAATGCTCTCCGTGCGGTGTCGTAGCTTGTAGCTGGTTCGCACACAAGCCGGGCTGAGCTGACGGCGCATTGCAAGGCAGCCAGGCGAGGCGGGCACCTTTCTCAATGTGTAACGCAGCTGCATGCAACCACACTAAACACCCACCCACCACATGGTCAAAGAGAAATGTCGATTATCGGATCGGCAAGAAATGTTATCGAGCTACTGATGGATGGTCACAGGCAAGAGGGGTTGCATACGGTGGGACATGCATATGCTTCTCGACAAATTGCATCTGGAATTCCGATAGCAGTCACCTGCAATTGAAAGACATCCGCATGATTCGAGCCAAGCTACGCGAGACGGAGCTATTACACACGATTGAATCTATTTGACCTAAATGGAGCGAGATTGTTTTGCTCCTCAAGGCCTCCGGGGTCGAGACCAGAGAGGGACTGAAACCATCTCATGTATCAGAAAACTGATGCATCTCCCCCTCTCAAAACCAACCAATATTGGACGACAGGTCACATTTTCTCATCAAGCTCCGACTCACCGATTGCACATTGCCCAGACTACGTGCGTGTCCCGTGGGAAGTAGCCCATGCAATCCTACCACCCGCAACCCTCAGCTAGCCACACAGCCCTCCAGTTCAGGTGTCCTAAATCGCCATTAACTTCACCCATGCAGCAGCGCGGCACAGGTCCTAAGGCTGATCACCCCGCGGTGAATCACACACAACGAGGGCGTCACCATGGATGCGTATTGCCCCTACATCCGTTGGCACCGGGACAGTCTCTGCCCAACTCCGACCACCAACCTGTGTGCGCCGACTCGGTTCCTAGTCGCTGTCCGTTACACAGCAAGGCTAATACACAAATGTGTCGAGCGGGTGTGACCTATCACAGACCGGTCAACTAGCAGGCTGACGCACGTTCCCAGAGCCCACAGCCCGTTTCGCAAAGTCGTCCATCATGTCGTCGTCATGGGAAAATGATATAGAAAATAACTGAGGAGACGAATAACGAAAGTCCCAAGAACGGCGCCTCTGGAGGGTAGGCTGCATGCTTGCTGCCTGATATTAGAAAACGACAGCCGGGCCGGGTGATGATTTGGCCAATTCTTAGAGGTCGACTAGACACCGAGCCGCGTTTCTGTCTTTCTCATTTCCCCTTTTCCCCTCTCTTATCTTGTTCTGGACCGATGGCTTGCTTATGGGCGCGGCCGCGATGGTTGCCCACCTTGCTCGTATTTCACCGTTTAGGCAAAGGATAAAGGACCAAGGCATGAAGCCGACTGAGGAAAGTGCAGCTTGGGTGGCGAAGTCTTGCGTCCATGAATAATGAGACAGAGCTGATGGATGCAGCCACCATGAGAAGGTGAGTAGGCATTGTGAAAGAAGAGAAAAGTGAGGCGGAGGAGGATGGGACGGCCAGCTTCCCCCGGGGAGATATCCGGGGGACAGTCGCCCGGTGTGGGATAAGGTCTGGTTCTGGGATGGACAGTGATAAAGTAGTAAGTATGATTAAGGTAAAAAGTAAGGCATGTCTTCGTAAGTATCTCCCTCTAGATCATCCCCCCTGCTCGCCAGTCGTTTCTGCACATGAATTTTCCCTGTATCATGAAACTCCAGGTCATGCTCCGATACACCTTTTCGTCACCATGCGTGTGTGCAGTGTGTAGTTGAAAGAATAGACACAACTGTTTTTTTCCTGTATCCTGCTTCTTGTTGCGCCATGTCCGCCTCTTGTGCAAAAACCTCGTCCCGCCTCACGCTTCTCTGTTGCCGAGCCGTGCCATGTCATATCATGTTATGCTATGCTATGCTAGGTACACGTAGCCGTTACCTTCTCGGTCAATATAGTCCTTTTCTATCAGGCTGCAGCAGGTTGAAATGAATTCGTTAGCAAATATTTCTGTCACATGGGTGCAAAAGTCCCCCCCCCCCCCCAAAAAAAAAAAAAAAAGTGCGAAAAGTGTAGACAAAGCCAGAAATGTTGCGAACATACCTCTCAATCTCCCTCTTGATGGCGGACGGCTCCACGCTGCCCCTGCTCTTGGTCAGGTTGATCACCTCGGCCTGGAGCTCGGCGTGGCCCATCTGCTTCCTGCTCTTCATGATGCGCACGATGGCGGCCTGGGTCTCGAAGCGGCGGTCCTGGGCGACGCGCTCGTGCGTGGCCTTGTTCTCTTCTTTGGTCTCCTTGAGCTGGATCTGGTTGATCTTGACCTTCACGTTGGGGTGCGCAAAGGCCCGGTTGAAGGTGAAGGTGTCGGTCGGCTTGACCTCGCGGCTCATGGGGTGCTTCTTGAGCACGCGGGCCTTGCCGCACGCCAGGGACTGCAGGGTGCGGTCCAGGTCGCCGCCCTTGAGCCCCGTGGCCTTGGATATCTGCTCGTAGCCGAGGAAGCCATCCGGCGCGTCCACGGAGTTGAAGAGGAGGAGGACGACGGCCTGGTAGGCCGAGACGAGGAGCTCCTTCTGGCCCTTGGGGAACCTGGCCTTGAGGGAGCAGTGCGCCAGGGAGTGTTTCCACGTGAGGGTCCTACCGGTGTGCATGCTCTTGTAGAATGTGTCGAATCTCTCCGACTGCCTGGCCACCTCCTCTGGCAGGTTAAGATTTACGTCTGGGTAGGTCGGCCAGGCGGCGGCTGAGAGGACCATGACGTGGAGGTCGACGGGCGAGCTCCGGCTGGCGTTGGCCGCGCACCACTGGTTGTACGCGCTCATCTCGTCCCGGGCAATCTCCTGATCCTTGAACATCTGCTCGAGCTTGTGTGTGATTTCGGACCCGACCTCGGAGCGCAGCTTGGCCAGCATGTTCCGCTCAGCGTCCTGGCTAGCGCTACGACCCATCAGTAGCCGCCGAGCGAGGTCCTTCTTGTAGAAAGCCTCGAATGTATCCTTGCCTTCGATGAAGCGGACCAGCTCCAGCGACTGGTTGAGCTGCCGGTCGAGCTCGGCGTCCTCGTCGGCGGTGCTTGATATGCCTTCCTTCTGTGCCGCTGCGCGATCCTTGGCATCCGAGAAGAGTGCTGGGGGCAGGCTCTTGAGGCCGCCGCGGAGCAGAAGGTCGATGTGCTTGGCGATCATCTCTCCAATCTTGGACGTTCCCGAGCCCCAGCAGGCAGAGACCTTGGAGTCGTTCATCGTCTTGCCAAAGGCGTCTCGCATCGCCCAGAGGAACTCGTCGTCCTTCCCAAAGGCGTCCCGGATCATGACATCAAGCGACCGTCTAAGGATCAGCAACCTAAGTACCATCTCATCACCACGGTCCTTGTCTCCCACAATTTGTGCCACCGTAGCCTTGATGTACTCGACCCAGGGATCCTTGAGCTTCTTCTGGATCCGCGAGTGTCGCAATAGTCCATACAGTACCTTGACGGACTCGACATCCTCGCTGGATAGCAGCTTGCCGAAGCTCTCCCCATTGAGCAGCTTATCCGTGTAATTATCGATCAGTGTCACATGAGCAGCATCCATAAGCTGCTTCTCTGTGACCGTCTCGATGTGAAACTCTAGACAGCGGTGGTGCTCCTTGAGTAGTAGCTTCTCGCACGCCTGAATGTACGATTTGAGGTTCGAGAGGGCATGGGACTCGCCGAATTCGTTGAAGTACTGCTGTGACGTTTTCGTGAAAACAGGCTCGAATGATCTTGAGTAGACGCCCAGGACGTAAAGCATACGAATCGATCCCTTGAGAAGCTCTGCATCTCGGAGCTCGTCCCCCCTCCGGTCGTGCTCGATCAACTCACACATGCCCAGAACAAGTTTCTTTCCCGGGGCCGTTTCGTAGATTTCCGAGTTGGAGGGGAAGGCCATCTTGCGGAAGAAGGTGATGGCCATGTCATTGATAGCTGTTTTTTTCTCACGGAGGAGGTATGTCCGGTCAAGAAAACTGAATATAGACCGGATGAGTTTCTATATACCAAGTACGAGTCAATTGCTGTGGTCCCTGAGTCCAATTGAATAACATTTAGAATACTCCAAGCAACTTACAATCTGAGCATTGAAAAGATGCCATTCCGCCAACAGCTGCTTCGCCATGTTGAGGTTCGACCCCTCGCCGCTCCGCTGGACCCTGGGCAGAATAACACGGGACACATGCGAGTCGACGCGATCCCTCAGCACCAGATGGATCTTGCCCGCGTTCCCGTTCCGGCAGTGGTCCTCGACGCCCCGATAGAGCCGCTCGAGGGGCACGAGGGGCTTCCCGCCGGCCAGGACCACGGTCAGCATGTCGTCGAGGATCTTCTCCGTCTCGGCGTAGTACTCGCGGACCTGGGCCTCGCGGGCGGCACCGGGCTGCCGCAGGTTCTTGATGACGATGCGCTTGGCCCCATTGTGCGGCTGGAAGGCCGAGGCGCGCGTGAGGTCGATGGCGGCCTTGCCTCTGGCCTTGGCGCTCATGGTCTGCATCGCTTCGGCAGACGCAGAGGCGGGGGCGAACTTGGGCCGCTTGAGAGGCTGGAACGGCGGGGAGGAGGCGGAGAAGGGGGAGCCGGAGGAGGAGTCGAGACGGGGGCGGCGGCGGGAGGAAGGGGAGGAGTCGGCCTGCATCGATTGCATGGAAGTCGTCGACTGGGGAGAGCTGGGCAGTCTTGATACGAGGAGGGGAGGAGGGAGGAGAGGTGGTTGAGCAGCACAACGGGCACAGCTCAGGTCGATGTAACGGACCACTGCTTCTCCGGCCGGCACGTTCGGCGTGGCACCATGGGGCACCTCGAGGGCTTTCGAGGATCAGAAACTGAGGTGGTCGTTGGGTTTGAGGACCGGGACAAGGATCAGGGCGATGATCTGCTGTACTGCGGATGGGCCCTGTTACACGCCCCAGACGCTGCTTGATGCTGCTGTGTCGGCGTTTCTGGCGGGCGGGATGGGTGCGAAAAAAAGCAGCGAAGCGACGAACAAGACAGGACCAAAAGGCGGCAAACAACAGGTACAGCAGAAAGAACGGACCCAAGATGGATGATGCAGTGTCTACTGCAAGACAGAAACAGTTGATGTCACTCGAAAGCCTCGGGCGGACTTTGGCAGCTCCTCAGACTTGGTGCTGGTGCTATCTCCGGTGCGATAAGATAAGACTCCGCCTTAACTTAGCAGTAATAAGCGCCCAACGCAATGGCGAGCTTCTCCCCGGAAATCCATTACGGCGTCTTACCCATCCTCGGAAGACCATGATTAATAACACTCCGGGATTGAGTAGCTGAAATAGAACAAGCACACCAAAGCTCTTTTCACGTAAGGCAGGGATCTTGGTTTTTATCAAACACAATAATAAGGCAATAGTAAAATTTTCTACGATACCTATTTAGCTTGATATTGTATCTATTACTAGGTAGGTTAATTGTTTTGATATTGTGTATACATTCAAAACTAGAGTTTCGGGTATACCATGATATTGGTATCACATACAGACATTATGGCTGTTATTGTCTGAGGGGAAGTGGTTGTAATTGATTATCGATGAGCTTGGAAGCATGGTTGTTGTTGATAGACGACGAGTTTCCCCTCTTTGGGTTATACGGCCGGGTTTATATATCTGGCTGTGTAAATGGCTCCTATTGTTAGAGTTTTTGAGCTGTTGATACCTGTGCCCAGGCTGAAAGTGTATAATTTTTTTTAACCTCTTTTCTGTGGAAGGCCTGTCTCAAAATGCACAGAGCTACAGGTGCGAAGGAAATCTTCTCTCCCACCTCCATCGGCACAGCCCGCCACCACGCAGACATCCCAGCTTTGTGTGTCGGGGGTTGTGCTGAGGATATCATCTCTCGAATCCCTAAATGGTCTTCGAGAATGTCCAAGGGGTGCTCAAAGGCCCTGTTGCGCGCTCGGAGAGCCAACTTGGCTCCATGGCCTCGCTTGATTGCGAGCTTTTACCCCCTTCACATACATTATACGGCGATTATGAGAGCCACCCCGCCGATGTCAAGTTGTCAGCAACGAAGCCTAGGCATCAGAACATATACGCTTCGTCGGTGCCAGAAATGAATGAGCAACGGTATATCCGACGACTCGAAGTGGTCCATCAGGGTGGGTTGATGCCAGTATGGGTTGGTGGGATCTGACGACCGACCGACAAGGCGACCGACGCGCAGCCAATGGTTTTGGGTGGTTCTCTGGTTTTGGTTGGTTTCGCTCGACGGGGGGGTAAGAACCTTCTGGCTCTCCGCCGAGGGGGGGAAATGTGCAGAATTGCTACCAATTGCTATATGCAATGGTCCGATTGATGTATGTGAATGATCTTGATTGTTTTTCTCATAAGCTGTAGCTAGCTAGGTCTTGATAAGAGCCGCTTGTCTGTATACGGCACCTTCCTTGCACCAGTCGGAAACATGAATGTCAAGACTTAGGCAAGGGCGGCCTTAATCCTATAAGATTTTTTCTCGTATTACAGCAGAGTAGAAAGAGAGATACATATCTATATAAAGTACAATCGCTAGACTAGCGACTCATTCATCACATCAGAAACAAAAAACCAAGTGATACAATGCTCGGATGTTCATGACGAAACTCCAAGGCCTTTACTCGACTGTCTCGGACAAACAAACAGCATAATTGAAATAGAACGAAGCACACGAAAGCTTTTTAGACAGACCTTGGTTTTTGTTAGACACAATATTAGGAAAATACTTTCAATATTGAGCTTAATGTTACAGTTATTACTAAGTTATTGTTTTGATATTATATTCTACAAGACCTCCCATCCTTTCATGCGTACGCAGCCCAACCTGTATCCCATTAGTTAGTTATCTCGAGTTACATGGTTAAACGGAAGAGCGATATAGGGTAGTCAGTGATGAGTAGAGGGGGGGGGACGTACCAGAGTATAGCACTGCCAAATTGCACTCGTCAACGGCCTGGTTGATCAAATCGTTGACCGTTGCCGTCACACTTAGCGTCTTGGATAGCTTCTTCCTCACTACCTCAAGCGCCCGGTCTGCCTCGGAAGGCTCGTTGAGCTCCGTTCCTGCCTTCTTTCCCTTCTTGGCTTCTGCCTCGCTTTGCTCCGACTCATCGAGCCCGTCATCATCGTGCCTAGCCTTTTGCAGCTTGGCAAGGCGTAGAGGGGAGATGGACCAGGTGTAGAGAGGATCGTATCGCAAGACGTCGAGAATCGTCATGATGGAGTATTGTTCTTCCCGTAGCGCATCAAGCGTGAACTCGCAGCAACGCCGGAACACACCCTCGGTCTTGGTGATGCCCATCCCATCCACAATATCTCGTGTGAGCCGGAATGGGACCAGCTCAGGCACGGGCAGGATACGCCCAGCCTCAAACGCAACACCGAGGTCGATGTGCACCACCTCTCCCGTCTTCGTATCGAGCAGGATGTTGTGGCCGTGGCGGTCGCCGAGTCCAAGCACATGCCCCAGCATGGAGATTGCGGCCGTGCTTCGCGTGTAGGCCAGCCTTTTGACGAACCACTCGTCCGGATCGCCAAAGTACTCGATGAAGAAATACTTCATCACGGGATGGAACTTGTCAATGACCTTGCGGTACGTGCTGATGCGTGTTTCGACAGTTCTGTTCTGGACGTTGAAGATTTCCTTGCGGCATTGAGACCCTTTCAGATCCTTGGGGAAGTACCTCTCGTGAGCTGGCATGAGGAACTCATGCAGAGGAATCGTATTTGGCACGAATTCAATGAGTCCCGACGAAGCGGTGAGCGGAAGCACCTTGTAGGTTCTGATGCCTAGACTACGCTGCTGGGTAGCTCTGTGAAGTTTGAGAAGAGAGGACACAGCGGCAAACACTTGCTCCATGATGGCGTCTTGGCGGAGATCATCATGACCACCCTTCACTAGCTGCTTGTACTTGACTCCGTTGGTGCCGACAGCAGTGATGATTTTAGGCGCACTTACACCAGAGGCAATGGACATGCTGGACTCGAGTTTGAGGATCGTCGGCACTTTCGAGTAGTCCTTGGTCGCTGATAGCTCGATATGCATTGTAGGAGGTGGAATCCGGTACTTGTTGAGATAGTTGACGAGGTTCGTCGCAGCAGTCGACTCCTTCAGGTTGATCTTGACCCCGGACTTGTACTTGTTCGCGTTCTTCTCCATCGCCAACAGGTGGTAGTACTTGCTTGTCTTATCGATAGCCAGCCATATGTCGGAGACGGATCTTGTAGAGGCGAGCCTTTGTGCCACCTTTTCTGTCGCTCGGACTCTCTGGATGGCTACCTCGTCCTTCTGCTGTGCCTTTGCCTTCGTTCCAGACCAGATCTGATACATCCCATGATAGGGATGCTCGACGCAAATGTTGTAGACAAGATCCAGGAGTAGTTTGTGGAACATGCTGTCCTGATTTTGCAGCCTTGACGTGAGCTGGTTCATCAGCGTAGCGAATTTCCTTGTTGGCACCTGTTGCAGATATCGCATCACGGCTTTGTTGGTGGCATCCTCTGACGATCTCTCTAGCCAGAGGGCGATGAACCGGAGAGCGTCATTGTTGTACTCGTCAGAAGCAATCAGTGACAAAAGGTAGTTCTCCAAGCTCAGCCGTACGAATTCACTTCGGGTCTGCTCTACTCGCCGTAGTTCTTGCTCATCGAGACTCAACCATTGCTTCTCCTTGGACAGTACATGCGAGTACCGACTCCTGAGCTGGCTGTCCTTGGTGGAATTTATCAGGCTCTGAAGCTGCGCAACCTCGTCGCTCTTCCCTTTTCGCAGATTCTGGAGCCGTGAAAGATCCTCCAGACTGGCTACATCCTGAAGCTGTCCATCACAGAACGTTGCGAATTGGTGGTAGACGGACCCTGCTTCCTTCCCATTGACGTTTCCTTTCAGCTCCTTGAGTGCAGGCTCCAGGTATTTCTTCTGAATATCTTGTGGTTTTTCCAGCCGAGCAACGGAAACCTGGTTGCCGATCTTGGATAGGAGATCAGTTCTGCTGACGGGTATCATCTGCTTCTTCAGTGTGGAATCCTTCTCGATCCCCTGCAGCAGGCGGATGGAGGTGCTCATCTCCCCGTGATCCCAGAGCGAGTTCGCCGCTTCAACCTTGACCGCTGCATCGAAATGCAGTCCCTGGACTTCACATGATGGGAGCAGGTTCATCAATGACGTAGAGATATTGATGGTTTCTTGAGTGGCCTGGTAGTATCGGAAGACACTGGCAGACGTGAGCATCGACTGCACCTGAGCCTGGCGGAGGTTGCCCACGGAGATCTTGCTTTTCAACAGATGGTCATGTTGGCTCAACATGCTCATGGTTGTTCCTCGACAAGACAGAATATTGCTGACATCCTCATATCTAATCACCCAGTTAGTTCCATCTATGCCATCATTCCTTCCTGGGGAGGGGACACTTACAGTCCACGTTTCATCCATTCAACACGAGATTGAAACCTGGCGAGAACATTCTCAACATCACCGGGGTCTGAGAGATTGGTCGCCTCATCGAGCTCGTACAAAACGGCCGCCGCTCCCAGGTGTTTCCTCAAGCCTCTTGCATTCTGATTCTGCTTTGTCAAGCTCAATATCGATCGCTGGAACCCATCATAGATGGCAGAGCGCACCAGACCAACGTCGGTCGCTTGGTGCATGCTTTGAAACGCTTTATATACAACCACTGCGTGATGATCACTTGCTACGGGCGCCGGAAGGTTCCACATTTCCAGCTTTTGGGCTGTTCTAAACGTGCTCTCCAGAGATGAGGATGACGAACCCGCGTTTTGCTGAGTCTGCAGAAGAGAATACGATAGACCACTTAGACCCAAGCCATTGAGAGTCTTCACCAGAGCCTGCGCATCGGACTCAGTATCGGGGTCGCGTTGGCGCAGATGACTGTCATATTGCGCTCCCCTGAAAGCGAGGCTCTTTGAGCCTTCATTCTCATATTCAACTCGGGCCAAGACCTTGAATAGACTGGCCTCCTCTGGAAGACCGTAGTATGCGTCGGGGTCGTCGATGTTCTCAAAGATGTCGAGCAGAGTCTCACTTAGATCAGTTTGTTGAAGGGCCGAGGATCGACGCGAAGCGCGAGTTGTCTCTGAGCTGACCAACTCTGCTAGGAACAGCGCCGTCTTGTACATTCCACAATGAGCAGCAGCATTTGAGGCCGCGGCATGGTCTATTTCAAGCCACTGAATGCGGTCTGCAATACAAGACTCGCCGGGATACTCCTGTGTTCTGAGGTATAGAAAGGTGTTGAGCAGCAACTTGATGTTGTTCTTGGCGGTAGGCTCTCTGGAAGCTAGCCAAACTTTCGCAGCCTCGGATAAGGAACGCTTCACTGTCTGTTGCTTTTTCACCTGAAGTTGTAGCACGAGATGAAGGAGAAATGGGAAACACTTCTCTGCGAAGCCCTTGACTTCTGTCAAGAGAGGAGGGAGGACAGAGAGAAGAGTCGAGGTCGATATGGATTGGGCGAGGTGGACACCAAGTTTGGGCAGCCATTCCAAATTCGAGATGTCCAGCTTCCAGACTGAACTGTCATCCTTAATAGAAGGGGGATCCGGCTTTTCAGAGGGAGGCGAGGTATAGGTCCCCCATTGGGATGCCAGAAAAAGAGATTCTCTGAGACTTCTTTCACATGCGAGGGATAGTGACTGGTCTTCTTCATGCGTAGCCTTTGAGACCACGCTTCGTAACGCGGCTTCTGCTAAACCAGCCGTCTTCGAATCCGGGCTTGATGTCAGCTCCTGGAGAATCCCCAGAATCCCCACCTCTGATCCATTTGCATCAAGAGCCATATCGTGGTACGTTGAAAGTCTAGTTTCACGGATAACGCCAGTTGGAATCTCTCCAGACGCCGAGAAAGCCCGGCCAACAACTCGCCCTGCCCAGGAGAGATACGCCGAGCTGAGATTTTGCGTGCCACAGCTTTTCCATACTTCTGACGCGATATCTATAGCGTCTTCCTCGCTCGCCACAATATCATCAGTCGGATTATTGGGGAATGAGAAATCGTTGCAAAGAAGACCCAGGGCAAGCTCCCGAGACGATTTGTTAAGAAGCTGGACGTCGGAACCTCCGTCTTTCAGAATGTCCAACAGAAGTTTGCTTTCGAAAGTGCCCTTTTCAGCATTTCCCGATGATCGAATGTGTGCAGCTGATTCCGTGATGGACCGAAAAGCTTCTCGCTGACCTTCACTTGTGAAGAGACTGGAGTCGTATTCGCTCAGGTACGCAGTCAGCCATTTGTGGAAATTCTGTGCCTTGCTCATTGTCGCTTTGAAGAGGCTTTCTTGAGTAGTGCTTGATTGGCTCGATTCAAGGAAGACTCTTAGAGAGGCGAGGGTCGAGAGGGCATATCCCGACACGAACGATGGTACTAACTGGAGGTACGGAGCACCCTCAGCTAGCAGGTACTGGCTCATACCCAGAGCGTCATCGGCACATTCTGCGTCAACGATGAACTTCTGAATCGAGTTGAGGAGCATCTCCAGGACATATGATTCCAGAGCAGAGTTTCCGGCTAAGCTGATGAGGATCCGAACCTTGCGAAGCACTGCGCATGCGTGGAGTGATCCCAAGGCTGGCTGGACAGAGTTGAACAGCTTACGGGCTATGGCTGAAACGAGGGCAGGCGTCCACAAGTCTCGGAAATCAAATATCATGTTCTCGCATAGCCGTCGGGTCTCGCTGATTAGATATCGCGCCCTGAAGTTTGGCTGCTGGTTCGGGGGCAGGTCGGCAGAGGAGTGGGAAATACTCTTGATTGCGGTCATGATCTCTCCCGCATATGTCAGGTCTCTCTGCTTCATGAAAGCTTTCTCGATAGGGCTATCTTGGTCGATGACGTCGAAAAACAGAGCAATTATGTCAACGAAGTGGTTGTACTTTGATTCCATGAGCGCCTTGTTCCCAAGCTTTTCTTCAATGTAAGTGTCGTCTTTGGCATCCTCGTCCCCGGAGTGATGTCCGTACATCATGCTGTAAGCCATGGCGGTTGAGAAATTGCGCCGGATCAGCTCGCTGATTGTTATGCCAATTGTTTTGGCAAGGTACGAGGTCATCTCTTCCTGTCCTCGCATCACCATCAAACCTACAGCCTCTGCCTGGGTGGAGGTGAGGAGCTGTTTTAAGCTGCTGAAGCCGAAGATTGAGAATGGAATGTCTTCAAGCGAATCATTCTCTAGCCACGTGTATAATAGTTGCCGTGAAAAAAGATGGAACAGTTCTCGGGGAGATTTGAGATCTAGCTCCTTTGAAATACTAGCACAACAACGGGTTGCGTAGTCTGCCGCAAGTGATACTTTGCCTGGTGTCTCAAATATGTGATAGGTGCATCTTCTCAACAAAGTCGACCAGCGACATGCTATTTTCGACAAGACAAGCAGCCGGAACGCTATCCCGGCAACATTGTCAGGGTCCTTTGGAAGACTATCCAGAACATCGACGAATACCTCGTCGTGGAGTTTTAGAATGTACAAGTCGAAGATCTCGGCGATTCTGTTACCGATATAACTCTTGACCGACATCGGCCCGCTCATGAGGATATATAGGAGCGATGTCCGGCATGAGTTGGCCCTGATATTAGTACCGTACTCGTGGTCTTCCCGTAAAAGGTTAAATAGAAAGGCGGCCATTGAAATCTGCACTTGAGAGGAAAACATGTTGTTGGGCAGACAAATGTTGGTGAAGTGACGGTACAAATCACTGACGTCCTGGTAAAGTTCTTGGTTGTCATGATGCCAAACATTGTATAGGCCACTTATCACCTCGATACAAGTGCTCAGTGCGACTTCACAGCACCGGTATTCAAAGTGCGACACAATATCACCTAGCCTGTTGATCAAAGACGTGGCAGACTCGGGGCTAATAACCAGGTCTGACTTGATCAAGTCAACGACCAACCGTTGGCAAGAAAGTAAGTCTTCATCAGGTAGATCCAAAAGCTCGTCAACAAACGGGTCTGGTACGAGACCAATTTGTTCCCGATGCTCGCATAAAGTGTGGATCAGACTCAGACGTTTCCTTGTATCAAGATAGTACGCCCCGCGATGCGTGCTGAGCTGCGAGTATAGTCTTGGTATAGCACTGGGCGCGGAACTTGTACTTGCTCGGCTCGCCTGGGAGTTGAAGTCGGGATCGATATCCATCAAATCAACATTCTCTGCTGAGCTTTGAAGAGAGTCATGGCGCTTGAGTGACTGAAAAATCCTTGAGAATATAATAGCTAGGCTCGCGTGTTCTGCTTGAAACCGTTCCAGGCTCGAACGGACAAGCTCAGGTATGCAAGGCCGGACCAATCTCAATGTGAGGTCAATAAAAGCCAATGGTTCAACGGAATCCATGGCCGAGGTCAAGCTCTTCTCCGTTAGTTCAACAAGGACTGGAAACAGGGCTGAAGACTGTCTTGTATTGAGGGAGTCCAGTTCAGGGGCTAGCAGCGAGCTGGCCATCACCGCCATCAAAAGACTTTGAAACCTCTCAAGAGAGATCTGGGTGCCGCCCTCGTTTGACCTCTTTGTCCAAGATATAGACAGCTCCTTGAGATCCTCGAGCTTGGGATATAGAAGCTCCAGTATCAGCTTTTTTGACGTAAAAAAGCTGCTCGCATCCGCAAGTGGTGGTAAGATCTGCTCATCTGAACCAACACCCTGAGGAGACATGCCACTCGGCTCAAGCAATAGCAGGTACTCGTTGATCGAATTCATTTGCTCCTGAGTTTTCCAGACCTCGCCCAACGAGCCACCGTAGACGGGGATCTTCATCCCTAGAGTCAGTGGTGTGAGGCCACAACATGCCCGGAGTAGATTGACCAAATCAGTCGCTTGCACGTGAACACCGTGGAATGATGCGTATGCATGTTCGCCTAATGTTGATTATTGTGTTAGTATTTACACTGATAATAATTTCGTGAGATGACAATAACTCGTGAGATGACAATAACTCGTGAGATGACAATAACTCGCGAGATGAGAATAATCTCGGGTGATGAGAATAATCTCATGTGATGACATTATTTCGTGTGATTGTTACTTACTTGGATTCCACCTGAGAAATACCCATCTGATGATATGGGAACAAGTCGCTTGACTAGCATTTGGCGACCTCATGTTTCGAATGTGGAATAGATACAGCATCAGTGCCAGAGACGTGTCAGACAGAATCGCCGGCCCATTTACATCTGCTGTCGTTACAATGCTATTTATTTCTTCTGATATCTCATGATATGGTAGATGATTGGCTAGAAGCAGCGTCTGTAGTAAACAACACGCCGCACGACTGGTTGAAGGTAGGCAAACAGCACGGGAGGCAATATGCCACAATTGTCTCCAGGTATCGGTGATCTCTTTATGTTCGCCTACTTTCAGGGCACAACTGCATTGCGGTTAGTTAATATAGCTAGACGGGTACCAATCTCCAGAAGTTGCCTACCTAGCACAAGCTATGAGAGCCCAGGACGCAGTGAGGGGATCCTTGTCTCCAGCTAATGTTGTCAGATCCTCCAAAAAGTCGATGGTGTCATCAACCCGCAAGGAATTGGAGGTCAAGATAAAAGGGACAAGTTGTATTGCTGTCCTTCGAACTCCCACCTCCTTGGATCTAAGCTTGAGTCGAACTCTACTTGAACTTTCGCGGATTCGGCGCCTCTTGCGCGGCTGTTCAAGCTCATCGGCCTGGTCTTGCGTACGATTATTGCAATTAATGAGGATTGATTCCAGGCGGGCCAAGGCTTGAACCAGTGCCCAGTAGCTCTCGCCTTCCACATTGTGAGGTCTGAGGCCAAAGAGATGGGTGCGTAATGAGTACTCGGGAAGGATCGAAAGCGAAAATGTGATGTCGACGAGCTGAAGGCGAAAAGGCTCGCCGCGTTTAGAGTATTCGACCCAAAAGGTATCGGCCAAATCTTCTAGATCTTGAGTAAAATTAGAATTCTCGTCTTCGATATGAATGGCGAGTTTCTCAATATGCAGATGCATGTGTAATATGGCCTTGAGCATCTCATTTCTTAGAGACCTGATGAGCTCATCTTGCGAGACCTTGTCAGCCCGCCACCAAAACACCATGAGTGGGACTATTTTCTTCATCAGAGACTGAGATTCATCGAGCTTATCCGCCTGTATCGCCTCGAATAGTGAATTCAGGATGGCGAAGGATACTGTTTGTATGGAGCCCAGACTGAAGTGCTTCACATTCAAAATCCTCAGAACAAGCTCGGCGATCTGACTCGACTGCCGTGTTACGGGTGCGTTGGAGGCTCGGACTAGATGAAAAAGGCCCTCCAACACATCTCGAAGGGGCCCGCCCTCGTTTGGGCCCGACCTTTTCTGGGATGCGGCTTTGATTAACGATGAAGAAGACGAACGAAGCGGGATCGCACCGGGTGCGGGTGATGCTCTATACGAGCTCGAAACTCGATCGGCCTCCTCGGGCAGGATTCGGTGCCCGAGGTCAAGTAAAAAGTCAACGCAGGCATCCCAATGGCCACCGTCTTTGCACGCCAGTGATTCCACATGGGCTTGACGAGACAGCAGCTCCGTCAAGGCTTTGACGTAGCCTTGAAGAAGGGGTTGGACGAAGTCGTTGTTCGGGCCAGGTAATGTCTGCGTTATGTGATCTATAACGGCATGTAGGGTTTTTCGCCCGAATCTTGGCAAACCCCGAGACACAGTGGCCTTGACAGCGTCGGCACACTTCTCCAGGCGGGAGGCAGAACCTTTTTGAGACTTTTGCTTGTACAAGGACGGCTTTTCCGTGAGAACATAGCTGAAGATCGCCTCCAGAACTCGATGATAGCTCTTGTCGTCAAGGTCCGCTCTATGATTTGTTAACAGGCGGTGATCTTAAGTGGGACAAATAGCAGGAACAAATAGTAGAAAAACAGAAACACATAGCAGAAACACATAGCAGAACCAAATAGCAGAAACAAATAGCAGAAATAAATAGTAGAAACAAATAGTAGAATAGCAACAAATAGCAGAATAGCAGGAACAAATTGCAGACATACATTTGTGTGTTCTGGCTTTGAGGGCTTAGGTTTTGGATGAGATCTGAGCCAATGTCAGTAAAATGTCTTGTCTATGTGACATTAATTGGGAGGAGATTCGACAGTACCATCCAAAGCCTTCTCACGGGCCTTTTGAGTGCCACTCCTGATGGTTGCTGCAAACGTTAGTCCATGGCCACGGGGTTAGTTATTGGGTGATATACAGGCCAGACTCTCAAGCGATGGCTTGTGCGATAACGACATGACGTGGAAAGATTGGGAAAGGGTCCCGAGCCCAAACTTGTGCACGATGCGCGATGATATTGAAGATGAGTTATCATCGAGATACGCGTTCAACTCTAAGCACGTGAACGCGTTCGCCGACCAGGCGCTAGGTAATTCTACACTGGCAAGATTATAGGGGCGCTTGGATGGTCATTATCTAGATGCCTGAGGATAGGCAAACACAGCGGCACAGGCGGTCATAAAGCTGCTCCTCGACACCTATCCATGGACTTGCAACTGGCTGTCGCAATGGGAGGCGCCTTAATAACTTAATTACTGCGGTCATCATTGGCAAGGATGTATAGCCCCATATTATTTTTCGTAGCCTTGCGACTGACATAAAAAGATGGTACACCTAGGACCTCTAGTGTTGAATGGATTTGAGCACAATATCAGAATAATCAACATCGCAATAAACATAGTATCAAGCCAAACAATGACAGAATAGTTTCTTATTTTCTTATTATTATATTTAGTATTATAAGAACGAAATCAGGTTAAAACCAGATCCCTGCTCCACACGTGAAGAGCTTCAGTGTGCCGCGTTTTATTTCAGCCGCTGGGCAGGCACCATTAGTGGGTCGGCTCTTGCAATAGCTCTGAGCTACCTCAAAACAAAGCTGAGCTGGGCGGCAGAACGCCTCACCGCCCACCAATTTGTTTCTTTGGTGCAGACGGGCGAACAATCAGCTTCAGAACAAAGGACCGCATTGCGACAGCGCGATCACCTCGCACCCACGGCCGAAAATCCTGTTCGACCATAGACATCCGTTAATTCCCCCTCGAACGCGCCAGGGATTCAGTCGATGCTACCGGTCATACGCCTCATCGATTCCTTTTGACCCAGGTCGCTCTGGAACCCGGTACACGGCCAGAACCCGTTCGCGATATCGATCTACTCGCGCCTTGGGGATACGCACTCACGACCCTTGCGCGAAGGTGTCCTTTGGTCATTGAGTCTTGACGCGACAATATGCAATAGTAGCCCCCCGCCGAGATGGCTGACTTGACACTACTGGAGGCTCTCGAAGCCTTCCATCACGAGCTTGTTGCCGTTCAAGAGGGCCGCTCCGACCCAGGCGAGGTCTTGTCCCAAGATGAGCTCGTACAAGCTTTCGAGAGCGAGCTGGAGAGGTTGTGGTCGCGACCCTCAAAGAACGAAGCAAGTCGGGCCAAGGTCAAATCTGGTTCGTCATCGCCCATTCTTCTCCCCAGTCGTCATTGGAAGACTAACTTGAGCTAGGGAAAATCACCTTTGGCGACGCCGAGTACTCTCTGAACGAAGATTTCCAGCAAACGGCCCTGAGCTTTTCCGACGAAGTTGATCTCGACGAGCTTGTAGCATCGCAATATTTACTTGAGTCACAAGATGATACATCACTCCTCGGGCGTTCACTGCTTGAATGTGCTTTAATCCGGTTTCATCGACAAAGGCGATATGCGCTTGATATTCTTAGGCTTATGCTCGAGTTGGAATCCGATGAGGAGAATCTGGACGACCCAAGACAAGACGTACATCCGATCAAGATCTATGTCGGCGAACGACTATTTTCTTCTGGTCCTGGTTCGGCAAGCCCTGGGAATGAGATAGTCCCCAGGTGTCTCGCAACCATGGGCAACATCAAGGCATGGCTTCAACGGCTTGGGGATAAGATTACTGCGGCACAGACCCTTGGGAACACGCAAAACCCGGGCCTATCTGAAGACGCTGAGACGGTCGAGTTTTCGAGAATCTCTCTGATTCAGCAACACGAACTGCTTGGTGTCATCCTCGCCCGATGCGTATCAGCACACCAGGCCAAATCTACTCACTTTGTCGAATTCATAGAGACACTGCGCAAAGTCGATAAATACGACTACCTCTTAAGTATGCTCTTGTCCGAGGACGCTGTGATCTTTGAGAAATCTCACTAACTTCTCATTCTAGTCCATTTGATGCCCGCAACCGGGGCCTATATCTCCGTGTTTGGGTCTGTTGTTGGCGGACACGATCTCATTGAAGTTCGACAGTTGAACAACAAGCTTTTCCCTTATACAGACGAGCCTACATGGGCACTGTCATATCTTCAAGCTGCCGTCCGTGCTTGGTGGCTTGCTGAATACAGCGGATTTTATCTAGATGATCCTCCGGAGTCCGCCATCCCCCCTAATACTAATTTAGACGAAGGTCAGTACACGCTCAGTCGCCCCTGGCAGGTAACTTGCTGACTTGTGATTCAGAGGATCGACAACGGTCGAAACAATTCCTGGACTCTTTGAAAGACGGCGCGTTTGATTTTCTGCTCTCCTTAGCTGGTGATGTTAAGCCCCTGGATTGGCACGATCCAGTGAGAGCCGGAATGCACAGATGGCTACAGCGAAAATCTCCAAATCTGGGGCTTGATGCCATACAATTTTCGGACTTCTTTCAACTTAGTCTCATGACCAAATTTGAGATTTTTGTTGACAGCTTCATTACAAATCTGCCTGATGTCCTGCGGAAGCTGAGAGTCGAGGAAGATGAGCAACGTCAATTGAGTCAGCTACATGAGCAAGACTTGGATTTAGAACGGTTTTTACTCATCATTGCTTACGCCTACGAAGGTCGGCCCACCGCGCAATTTGATTTTTGGGCAGATGGTGAGAGCAACCTCAATGGCTTCCTCCACTGGGCGTCACGAAGGGCATCTACCCCATTGGTGACTGCCTTTTGTGAAATGTTGCAGGCAATTTCAGGAGACGAGAACTGTGCTGAACAAGCCCACAAGTTCTTATTGGAGGAGGGTCACCATTCGTCCGGCAAATTGAGGAGATTGCAATCTTTGACCTGGAACCAGATCTTCAGAGAGCTTACCTTCTTTATGGATAAAGCCAAGCAGAAGCCAACTCAGTCCCAGACAGTGAGGTATCGTGGTGGCAAGCCTGCGCCTGACTTTGTTGAAACCGAACCAGAATCAGCCATGATGCTGGAGTCATATCTCCGGCTCATATCTAAACTTGCCACCGAGAGCGAGGAAACTCGAATATTTCTTCTACATAACCCGTCGTTCAATCTTGTCGAGACTATTTTGGAGCTTGCAAGCACTCCGATCCCACCTGCACTCCGTGGTTGCGCTTTCATGGCGCTCAAAGCCCTCATGGCAAGAAAAACAATCCAGGAAGGCGCCACAATGTGGAATTGTCTGGATATGTGGATAACCGGTGGTTACGTGACCTCGCCCGCCGGTACGCTTCGGCAAACTCCTTCGTCGCCTATGATGTCGATGGAGAGGACGTTTGATGAGATCAGCAGTGGTTTTGATGATCCGGAATCTTTCATCCAGTTGTTGCTCATCCTCGTGTCGCCCTCGATTGACAGCAGCCCGCTAAATGATTCTCTTCCATTCCCCGAGAATCTCGGTAGTGCTTTTCGGGCCCCAGGAATCGAAGTCTACATCGACTATGTTATTGGTCTTGTCCTCGCATCAAAGACGAACGATTTGGCAGATGTCAATCAGACTCGGGTATTAAGGCTAGGCTGCCTAGATTTCATGCTAACTTGCCTAGCCTCCTTTAACGAGGATCTCATTGTAATGGCAAATGACACCAGCCTCATGATTGACTCTATTATTGCAGCTTCTGACCTGGCTACATACGTGAGAATGCATCCATTTGCTCGAGTGATGGAATGGATGTACAACGAGAAGGTCCTTGCTGCGCTCTTCAGCACCATCCATCAAGAACAAATTGACGTTGGGAATGCCGCCCCTGATTCCCCCCTAATCTTGGGCATTATACGAGCCGTTGAGGTCATCTCCAAAGTTTTAGACCTGCAAGCCACTTATATCAATCTCGTCAAGCCTATTATCAAGCAGCAGTCGAGCCAATTGCGGCAACCTGCCACTAAGCCATCCTACGCCTCATTCGAGGATGGTCTACTGACCAGACTGAATCTGGTAGTAGACCTAGGAAACTATATTGGCATTGGACATCCGGAGTTGACTCTATCGTGTCTCAACCTGCTCCAGAAAATGTCATCATCATCGAAAATTTCAGCCATCTGGTCTGGGTCTAGTCGACAAAACCACCGAAACAAAGCTATCGTCGCGATGGAGGCCAATGGCGAGCATGAATCGATATCTCGAGCTTTCATTTCTGAGCTCATGTCACCCCTCGATGCCGGGCGCGAAGCCGAGTCTTCCAGTTACATGACAAAGATTTACATTCTCAACTTCCTAATCGAATGTCTTCAGCAATCAAACCGAAAGCCGACAATCGCCCATCTCATCCTAGGTTTCAAATGCGGTGTAGATTCTCTCTCTATCGAAGCTAACGGCCTATTCGACACGAGGACGTCTCTATTTCACAGCCTGCTTAAGCTACTGATGGAGACTCCCTCCGGTGATGCACAAGGCATCCGACGATGGCTCGTGGCCTTGAAAACACGTGCAATGCGCGTGTTGAGAATTCTCTGGGCGGCACCTCTCTCGTCCTCCTTCGTTATCGAGGAGTTGCGTGAAAACGAGTTTCTATTTCATCTTCTCGTCCGGGAAACCGTCATACTGCCCGGGCTTCCTTGGGAAGGTGAGAATATTGAGGAGGTTGCTTTCCCAGTCACTGACGGCGCAGCTGCGTTGCTTGATTTCCTATCATTGCGCAGCATGACTCTCGAGTATATTGCCATGGAGCTATGTATGATATCTCAAGGCAGAATGCCAAGCGTCAAGCGGCGTATCTTCGAGGCGCTGGGTGGTCAGGTTCTTGGGGATAATAGCGAAACCATCAAGACGCCTACAGTATTCGATCTTCTTGATTTCCAGCTACCAGATGAGGCCTGGCGAATTGGGGCACCGGCACTGAATTTCTACCGGAACATCGACCTCTCGATATGTTTGGAAACAGATGCCGATTCGAATTCCATCTTCAACGTGGACCAAGTACGTGAGATTCTGCTACTCAAACGCAATGAACCGAAATCTCAGGGCACAATCATTACAGCAGAGGAGCTCAAGGCTATTGAA